AAAAATAAAAGGAATAATTAAATTTAGAAAATATGGTGGCTCTCAATTTTTAGGGAAAAAATAAATTTCTTTTATTAGATCATTTTCTCAAAATATTCTTTTAAGAACTTACCCTTTTGGATAGCAAAGAATGAGTTGAGATGAGTTGATTTTGTAATTATAAGTTAAGATATTGGTAGTTTGGTTTAGCTCTTTTTGTTTCATTTTGTTATAACTTAAAATTGTTGATTATTTGTAATTTCTTCAATTTATTGGTGGATGCAATTAAGAAAGTCCTTATTGAAGATTATTATGATGAGACCAATATTCAAAAGAATATAATTTTTTAGAATATTATTTTTAATTAGAAGTACATGAATAAAATATGAATTATAACAATAAATAAATTAAATACTATCAACGCACGCTCCTTTAAGTGGAATCAAAATCAGTTCAAATAATTAATTGAGGTTTTGGCCTAAGTTTGTTTGAAGTTCATTTGTGTTGATTATGTATATTAGTTTTGAGTGAATTAAAAAAAAAAATGTTTCATTTTGAGCTATCTTGAGTCAAAATTAGATTAATAAAACCTAATCTATAAAAAACTTCCTAAAGTAATTATTAGCCTTAAGTTAAGTATGGGTGTCCCAAAAGAAGAAAGAAATTAAACATGAATAGTTTGGGTTCAACTTGCAAATTTGCTCAAGTTCAAATATTTGAACAAATTCTTAGGCCCATTTACAAAATAAGTTAAAGTGCAAATAAAAGTGAAGTACAATATATTTGGGTTGATAAAAACTCTTCAAGCATATCAAATATATTTAGGTAAGTTTTACCTGATATGTCTCATAATTGACATGATTGACCAAATATGCCCAATGTTCATTTTCTTATAGAAATATACCCATTTTTTGGCAGATCATATTGCTTTTACCAATGCAATAATAGGAATCAAATTTGGTCAAGAGCCGAGCAAACTTTTGAAAGACCTATTTGAACAATTATCTTCCCAATATCTTCTCCATCTGTGATGATCCTTGATCACAAGCAATCAATATACAATAAAGCTTCATAATGATGGCCCCTATATTTTTCTAATTATCATATATTCAAGATATGCCTATTATTATTTGATTATTTAGATTTGAGTACATCATGCACTCTAACTCTTAAATTAGAATTGTCTGTGCATGGAGAAGGGTACCTTTCCACTTGAAGGGTGGAATGTGTGGACCACATACGAGTTTTGGAATTTTTTATTTTGTAAATGGATACAACATCTGGAATAGTGTGTCACCTCAAAAGCTGAACACCCTACCAAACAATGGATTAAATCACGAAATGATGGTTTGAAGACCTGGGGTCTATGTTGCCAGATTTTTCTCTGTTCTTATGAGTAGGATATGATTTATATTTTTTGGGTTTTGTTTTCATAAAGTTACAAGCCTCTGAAGTTAATAATATACTAGGAGGGGTTATCTCATAAGAAAAATCTTATTTAAAATAGTGGCCACCTAATTTCTATTGATTACAAAGTATCATTTCAAGATTGTTAATTCAAATATTCAAATTAGAATTGGCTCCGAGTGGAGTAGAACTTGTCCAAAGTCAAATGAGATAAAGTAAAAAACATCAGTGATGTTGACCTCATTTTTTGTGAGATTTATATCTCTATTCCCAACTCATATTTAAAGCCCAAGATCTATCCTTAGAAACTCCTTAGTGGCTACCCTAGAGGACTAGTTGATAGTTTGAGCCGAAATTAGAACAAAAAGCATGTATTTACCCCCATTAAATTGAAATGTGCTTGGAATTATTCTTAATACATAAATTTGATGTTGAGTTGATCATGGTTAGGTTATTGAGAATTTAAGGTAGAGCCTCCATTAAGTTCCTATCTTGCTATTAGGTGACCTTTGAATTGTCGAGGCGTTGAACCTAAGGATTGAACTCAAGTCCTTAGGCACCGAAAAACCATATGGAATAGGTTGTTTAGACTCATTTGTTAACTGTTGATCTAAGGAAAATCTTGTGGGCCCCACCCAATTAGCATGACCTTTCCCTCTCAATTTATTTTTTTTGGTTTAAAATGAGCTCAAACATATTTGAAGTTCATCTCAAACCATGATAGAGTTTAAACTCAAATAAAAAAGAAAATGAAGTAATCATAGTGAATTTTGGTTAAATTAAAATTAAAGTCAACTCATCCAAGTTAAACACACACACACACACACACATAAATATATATATA